ATGAGTCATGCCCAGCTCGGACGGCCGAGATCACCACCACTAGCGTTGACAGATGCTAAGTATGAGGGCCGAGGTGAACCTGGCCAAGGTCCGACCTACCGGGAAGGTCGGTGGTGGCCGATGTGAGCTACTGTCAGCGGCGTGATTATCGGGTATAATCGTCGGTCCCGAGATTACTGGGTGTAACCGTCGCGAGACTAGCGGGACTACCACCCATAAGTAGAGGACTTCACTCCACGATCATGTACGATGATTTCTGACCTCGAACTAAACTAGGAATCCGACCTATACTGACTTGATCGTCGGAGTGCTCACCTTTTTGTGCAGGTCCGCCCAAGAATTCAGATCGGTCCGGAGGCCGAGTTCGAGCTGCAATCTGATATACACTGTTATGCATATCCTTGCATAAACAGTCTATATATCATATAAACATTTTTATTAAGTACTGAATTCTTAATATGTCCCCTTTAAGATGGTGGCTCTTTTGGACTCACTAATCTTGTCATGGATTTCATTTTTGAATCGAATGCTCGTTTGAGCTTGTTAGACTTTAATACCATATTAACATTCATGGAATTTATCTCAAAACTAATAGACAATGAAAAAACTAGGTCAAGCATATTATAATATTTATTAGGTTTCTTACCTTTTCGATGTGAAATTCTTAACATAGGTCTTTTTGGTGGTCTGGCTGGAATGTGCATGTGAGCATAACTTTGTTTAAACTTTCTAGTTTATTTATATGTATAGTATTGCCTGTATGCCTGCACTCCATATATATGCCTGTCTGCATGCCTTATATACATGCCTTATATATATAAGGCATCGCGATGTGTAATTGGTATACGAAAAACAGATTTTGATAATGCTGTCTCAAGTCATCCACGATATAAGAGCCGACGTCATCTCCTGAAGGAGATCTCTTTCGATATAAGAGTTTGGTTGTCCAATCATCCACGATGTGTAATTGGTCACCTATTTAAAAGAAAAAGTTCGAGAGTAAGGAAGGTGTTAAGGTGTTAGCACCCTACGACACCGTTTGAAACAGTCATAAATTATCCTATTATTTTATTTGGTCCAAAATAAATTTATTTTAATATTTTAATTTATAAGATATGAATTATTAGATATGGGTGGCATGGAAAAAAAAAATTTTGTTTCCAGGCAATTAAAAAAAATTTATCACCTGAATATTAGAAGGCTACGACATTAGGACTCGAATGTGAACCACATATGTTAATACCCAAGTGAACTGCTAACGTGCACCCTAAGATACAAACATTACTTTCTTTATGCAAAAGATTCTGTAATTCAAAACCATAACCATCACTTGTTTCGAAGAAACTTTAGAAATATGAGATTTTATTCTAAAAAGATTTTTAAAATACGAGATTTTATTCTACACCAATAGGCATTAAAGCAAAGAAAAAATAATTAAGTACTATAGCTCACTTTGATGTGGAAGCGTAACAACAGGTTTATTGTCTTAATAAATAAGATGGGCCTTTATCAGATTTTATCTTTTAGCATATTTTATACATAGACATATATTGAATAAGTTCATAAAAAAGGAAGACAAAATGAATGAATAAAGGAAAATTCTTGCGAATAAGTCTTTTGAATGATGAACAAAAAAGATTTTTTCTAGATACTCTTTTTTATCTTCTCGTTTTTAAAATCCTACCGAAGAACTTTTTTTAAATTAAAAAAAGAAACAAAGTTGAAAAAAAAAAGTAGACCCTGTTAAAAATTTTTGCTTTTACTAAAAATTAAACTTTTAAACTTTAATTGAAATTTAAAAGAATCCCTATTATATTTAAACCAAAATTTTAAAGAAAAATCTTTTATTTAAATGAAATTAAATTTTTATTTACTTCATTTTAAAAACTATTTTTATTTTATTTTTAACAAATTTTA